CGACGCAGAGCCCGCCCCCTACCACCAGCCCTGGACTCAGAGGCCGGCCTCGCTACCACCAGCCCTGGACGCTGGACGCAGAGGCCGGCCTCTAGCACCAGCCCTGGACACAGAGACCAGTCTCTACCACCAGCCCTGGGGCAACCAGCATGGACTCAGGGACCCGAATCGCAGAACTCAGCTGAGGCCCCCCTCTGCCTCTGGCTTACAGAGGGGGACGGTCAGGCCCCCACAAGGGAGAGTGAGTGGCTCACACAGAATGGTGCCTCCATGTCACTGGTGGCGGCGGAGCACGGGAGAGGGCCCGAGTCACCTGGAGCCCCGCTCTCCCGAGCTGCAGCTCCTGTCACTCGGAGGGGAAGGCCTCCGGGGCAGCAGTCTCTGCCCTCCTCCCACCTGAGGAACAGGCAAGGCGAGGGCAGCCCCTCCCCTCTGCACCCCTCCCCCACTTCTCTCTCTTTACTGTGTCCCGCAAGTCCCACAACAGGGTGCCCGCAGCTCCCCTGAAGGTTTCAGCGTCAGCGAGGGGACAGCAAGCCAGGGCGGAAGGAGACGCTGCAGGTGGGACCAGCCCTCCCTCCCCCCTCCCCCTCCCCGCCCCTGCCTGCGGGAGCAGCAGGGACTCCAGGAGCAGCAGACACCGACAGCCCACCCAGCACCCAGCACGCTCACAGCTAGGCTCTTGAAATCACCAAGGGAGTTATGTAAGGGGAGACATACGGCTGGAACGTGGAGGGAACCTTCCGTTCTGCCCCGGGTATTTAATTTACTAAGAAAGCTGCAGTCCAGCCCCCGTCTTGCACGCAGGGGGGACAGGCGTCACGGGAGGAGCAAGCCACGATGGGGACGCACGAGCACCATGCAGAGAAGCCCCCCGAGGTCGAGGTCGCTTACTCAGCCCCGGGGGTCCCGGCGGTCTCCTCCTCCGGGATGCTAGTGAGTGCTGGTGGAGAGACGCTGGATGGCAGGAAGCTAGGCGGGGAGACAGCCACGCTCCCAGCTCTGGCCAATCCCGCTGCCTTCCCAGGAGGTCCATCAGAGAAGGGGTTCCCAGCCCCTTCAGCACAGGCAGCGTCCAGGGCTCGGCTGTGCTCGGAGCTGCAACAGATGGGGACCGTGCTGGGTGTGTTCCCAGCGCTGGCAGGCGGCAGTCTCGTTGGCTGGGGCGGGTCTGCTGCTCAAAACGCAGGCAGGTTCCCTCATTGACGGGGCTGCAGCAAATCTTCCCACCACCCATGTCCAGGCTGCGGGGAATCCGGAGCCACACCGGAGAGCCAGCAGGAGGCGGGCTGAACCCCGTGTTTAGAAGGCAGGCAGGAGTGGAGGCCGTGGATGCAGCTGATGCAGCTGGTGACGGTGTCTGGGCTGGAGGACCTCTGGCCAGCACTGTCCCCACCTAACCGGGTAAAGCCTGGTTGATTCCAGACAAAGTCATGTTGGCTTCAGAAATTTGGACTCCCTAGAATCCCTGTCCTTGGAAGACGAAGAATGTAGACTTTTTCTCTGGGCAAGAGGGATGGCTACAGCCTTCCAAAGGGTTCTGCTGCTGAGACTCCCGTTCGCACCCAGTCCCTCCTAACCAGACAACCACACGCTTCCAGAAGGCAGAGGCGTCTG